CGGCCCCTGGCACCGAGCAGGCAGAGCTAGGGGAAGCCTCCTGGCGCGCTGCAGGGTGGTGGGTTGCAGCCGCGGTTGCCCGGCAGCTTTCAGGAGCTTGGGCTGGACTCGCTTTTGGGCGGCTGGGGCACGGCGGAGCGATCGAAACAAAACCGCTGAGGAGGAGTCAGGAGCGCTTGGGCTGTGCCGCCTGGGAACACGCTTGTCTGCAGCGCAGTGACGAACCTGTCACCCCACTTCCCGCACTGGCACGACGTGGGAGAGGGACCGAGCGTCCTCACCAGTGCCTCCGTAAAGAGCCTGCATTCTGTCATTTCTTTTTTTCCAGAGCTTGCACTCTGAAGTTCCTAGGGCAGCTAGCACCAAAGGCAAGGCCAGGCAGTGCCCCCCAGACCAGTCTGAGCTGGTTTGTTGCCCGTCTTGAACTGGGGCGGTGAAATACTGGCACTAGAGTTTGACGCTAAGGTAAGCCTGGGGTTTGGCCCCCCCTTCGGTAGCGTTTCTTCCACCTCTGCATGCTGAGGTGTACCTGGTGCCTCCCCAGAGCTGTTCTACACCCCCTCCCCTCGGCTCTTGCTCTGTTGGTGAAGGTGACAGAAGCTGCTCAACCTGTAAATAGGCATAACTGGTGGTGATCACATCCAGTTACATCCCTCTGCACCTGGGCGTACTGGTGGTGGTGTGGGCGAGGGGACGGAGAATCTTGTCTTGACGAGTCAGGGCTGCAGCTTCCTCTTGTGTGTTTTGGATGTTTTTACAGATGGCCCCAAGTCCTGCGCTGATGTTAGCAGGCTTACGCTGCCGGAGGCAGCTGTGAATTTAAGGGAAATAGTTTGAAATGGTTTTATTTTAATGAAATGAATAGAGGTGAAATGTTTGGAGAAGTCTAAAGGTGGGCCTTTGGAAATAATCTTTACTTGCACCAGTTTAACGACTGCAGGTTGCGTGGTCGCGTTCCCTGGGGGTACTGAACGGTGACTCTAAGCACTCTCAGCCAAGAGGCCAGTTCCTGGGCTGGTGGCACCAGCACTTGGACTGGACTGAAGGTGGAGGTGTGCGTCACGGAGCGCAGAAGGCCCCAGGTGCCGAGAGGGTGAACGTCGCAGCCAGAGACGAGCACTTGACAAGCGTGATCACACAAGGGCCAGGGCGCTTGACGTGGAGAGAGAAGGCGTGAGGTGTCTCGGGGAACCTCGGGCAGGTCCTTCAGCTCCTGACAGTACCGGGACAGGCACAGCATTGAGGAGGAGAGAGCCTAACATCATTACAGGGGTGCAGTGGGTAGTTAAGGGCAATGATGTCTTTCTCCCATTCCAGTCAGGGATGTTTTGGGCTGCCTGCCCTGCCGTAGGAGAAATCGCAACAAAAGCTGACCCAGCCCCCAGCCTGGACAGGCGATTCCTCTGGGAGCCCCAGCGGCAGCCCCGGCGTTGCCGTGTAGCTGCTGAGCTGTGCAGCAGGCCAGAGCGGGGAGTTAAGCCTTGTTCAATAAAGCTTTATTTA